GTGGTCTTACCGAGAATTGAATCAACAGCAGAAAATGGGGTCTTACGAGAATTAAATGGAAGGAGAAAAATGGGGCTTACGAGGAATTAAATTAAGAAAAATGGTGTTCTTACGAGTAATCTAATTAGCTAACATGGTGGCTTACGAGGAATTAATAAGAATAAAATGGTGGGTCTTACGAGGAATTAATTAAGAAAAATGGTGGTCTTAAACTACGAGGAATTAATTAAGAATAAAATGGTGGTCTTACGAGAATAATTAGGAATAATTAAGATAAAATGGTGGTCTTACGAGGAATTAATTAAGATAAAATGGTGGTCTTACGAGGAATTAATTAAGATAAAAGGTGGTCTTAAACGAGGAATTAATAAGATAAAATGGTGGTCTTACGAGGAATTAATTAAGATAAAATGGTGGTCTTTTAATTAAGATAAAATGGTGGTCTTACGAGGAATTAATTAAGAAAAATGGTGGTCTACGAGGAATTAATTAGTGGGTCTTACGAGGATAAAATGGTGGTCTTACGAGGAATTAATTAATATATAAAATGGTGGTCTTACGAGGAATTAATTAAGATAAAATGGTGGTCTTACGAGGAATTAATATCTTACAAAAATCGCTATGGTGGAGCCAGGTGTGTCCTGAGGCGAGGGCGATGCTGGCGAGCTTCCCTGCTATGACGTCCATGGCTGCCTTCCCGATGTCAGGATCTATGCGGGACTTGGCGCGGATCTTCCCCAGGATGCTGGTCGGGTCGGCGCCCTACGGGGGGTGTGGGGATGTGGGATGAGGGACGAAAAGGCGGGGGGGGGGATTATTTCTCTTTGCTCTTCCTTTTTTCCTTTCTTTCTATTTCTCGCTCTCTATTTTGCTTGCTTGCTTTGTTTTCTTGCTTCTCTCTTTTTTTCTCTCTCTCTCTCTCTTTCTCTCTCTCTCTCTCTCTCTCTCTCTCTCTCTCTCTCTCTCTCTATATAATATATATATATATATATAATATATATAATATATACACATATACATATATGTATACATATACACTACACACACACACACACACACACACACACACACACACACTATAATATATATATATATGTGTTGTGTGTGTGTGTGTGTATAGATATATATAATGTATGTATGTGTATATGTATATGCATATGTATATATATTTATATATATGTGTGTGTGTGTGCGTGTGCGTGTATCCCACTCACTTCTCTCTCTCTCTCTCTCTCTCTCTCTCTGCTGGCGCCCTCACCTGCGAGGCGACCTCCAGCACTCCTCCCAGGATGAGGTGGCCAGGGACGTCCACCTCGGCGAACTCCTCGAAGGTGTCGAACGGAAGGACGACCTTCGGCAGGATGAGCATGGCCTTGAGGTTCGAGCGGTAGACAGTGCCGATGATGAGGGTCGCCAGGAGCCACATGCCCGCCACCACGCGCACGGGCACGTCGCGAGGCTCCCAGGGCACGGCTGACAAAATACACAAAACGTTTAGCGTAAACCGACGTACGACTGGAACATCCATTAAAAACCTGGCAATGTTCAGCTGCAGATAAAACCAACGCAATTAAATTAATGGCTGCAAAGTCCACACAACGAAAGCAACCAAAGGCAAGCCACGTGCAACCAAAAAGGCAAGCCACGGGCAACCAAGGCAAGCAACTGCAAAAAAAGGCAAGCCACGTGCAACCAAAAAGGCAGTCACGTGCAACCAAAGCAAGCCACGTGCAACCAAAGGCAAGCACGCACCAAATGCAACCAAAGGCAAGCCACGTGCAAAACAAAGCAAGTCACGTGCAACCAAGGCAAGCCTCGTGGCAACAATAGGCAGCCACGCAACCAAAAAAGGCAAGCCACGTGCAACCAAAGCAAGGCAAGCCACGTGCAACCCAAAGGCAAGCCACGTGCACCAAAAAGCAAGCCACGTGCAACCAAAGGCAAGCCACGTGCAACCAAAGGCAAGCCACGTGCAACCAAAGGCAAGCCACGTGCAACCAAAACCAGCAACAAAGGCAAGCCACGTGCAACCAAAGGCAAGCCACGTGCAACCCAACAACGAGCAACAAGCAAGCCACGTGCAACAAAAGGCAAGCCCACGTGCAACCAAAGGCAAGCCACGTGCAACCAAGCCACGTGCAACCAAAGGCAAGCCACGTGCAACCAAAAACGTGCAAGCCACGTGCAACAAAAGCAAGCCACGTGCAACAACAAGCCACGGCAAGCCAAAGGCAACCAAGGCAAGCCACGTGCAACCAAAGGCAAGCCACGTGCAACCAAGGCAAGCACGTGCAATGCAGGCAAGCCACGTGCAACCAAACGTGGCAAGGCAAGCCACGACAACAAAGGCAAGCCACGTGCAACCAAGGGCAACCAAAGACAAGCCACGTGCAACCAACAAGTGCAACCACAGCAAGCTGCACGGCAAGCCAACCAAAGTGCAACCAAGGCAAGCCACGTGCAACGGCAAGCCACGTGCAACCAAATGCAAGCCACGTGCAACCAAAAAGCAACCACGCAACGGCAAGCCACGTGCAACCAAAAGGCAAGCACGTGCAGTACCCTGAGCGAAGAGACTCGAAACCGCCCACAGAACCGCGTGGTACAGCTGCGACGAAAGCCCACGGGGTTGCACGACGGCGTCTCTCTCGTGCCTGGCGTCGCCCCTGCTTCGGAATCGCGGTTAAAGTCAGCTGTTTGACTGACTGGATTCTGGTTGACTTATTGATTTTTATATCAGATGTTTATTTATTATTTATATTATGTTTAGTTTATTTTATTTATATTTATTTATTTTATTTATTTATTTGTTTATTTTATACTTTATTATTTATCTATTTATAGATGTTTATTTATTTTATTTATTGATTGATTTATTTATTTATAGATTTATTTTATGAACTGACTGTTTCTTTTCTATGATTATTAGCATTATACCATCATTGTCATGGTCGCTGATATTATCATGATAGTAAGACTAGTGTTACCAAGATTTTGATTGTAATTATGGTTACCTTTATTAATATTTTCACGATTACTCTCATTATCATCAGAAGAGGTAAATCACACACTCGATTTTAATAAGTAACAACACTATTTAAATCAACTAATCTGATTTGCTTTACTGAACTGTTTTATCATTTTGATTTAGAAAAAGTATTCATGAATATTCTTAAATTTAGCGAGTGTGGGTGGGTGTGGTAGAATAGTTACCTCAAGTTATCTTTTAAGGTACTTAAATATACAGCTCTTATAATCCATTCAGTCTGGAAGCCACGCCCCCTTATTTGTTATTGTACTTAATATCAAGGATTAAACCTTCAGCTAATAACTTCTCGTAATATTTACTGTACAATAAAGGAATATGTATAGGGCCTTATTTATTATATAACCATGATGTGCCACACTTAAGTCCATTCTGACAAATGCAAAATCAGGTCTGAATGAAAAATAGTAATCGATAGCATAACGATACGTTATCAACAATTCTATCTGAATTTCCACAACGAGGTTTACAACATAGCAAGTAATAAGCCGCAAATCAAAATATCAGTTACACGTTTTTTACTTCTAAAAAAAAAAAAAAAAAAAAAAAAATGCTTTCATTGGGAAGGGTGAGGTATGGGGAAAGGGGAAGGAAGGAGAGGAGGGGGGAAACGTGGAGTGAAAGAGGGAGAGGGGAGAGGGGGGGAGAGGAGTATTGGGGGGGGGGTAAAGGGGGATCCATCTGCCACCCACCGTAACACGTAGGACACCCCGCACTCAGCCAAGAAGACAGCGCCACACACCAGCAGCATACTCGCGAACACTGAAAACCACAGCTGCAGGAGGAAAAAGGACATGCTAAGAGAGTCATTTTACAAACCGAGAGAATATTTTGCGCCTGAAAAAAAGAGCTTTGGAATCTAATTGTGGTTTGGGAGTGGCTTGGCTGGCGGTGTTATGCTCAGCAGACCATTGTTTTGATATCGCTAGAGTGAATTTCGGAATCGAGGATAAGTCTATTCCTGATCCGGTTAGCGTTCGTTCCTGTGCTCAAGGATATGCGCAGTTGCGAAGTTGGAATAGCGTTATCCCGCTCTCTTCTCTCTCTCTCTCTCTCTCTCTCTCTCTCTCTCTCTCCTCTTCTCTCTTCTCTCTCTCTCTCTCTATCTCTCTCTCTCTCTATCTCTCTCATCTCTCTCTCTCTCTCTCACACACACACACACACACAGCGTGTGCGTGGGTGTGGTAGTCACTCTCACATTACCTTTTCCTTCAAGTAACAAGGCATCTAAAACATCAATTCTATTATAACTTTAACAACATCCAACAACGATAAAATCTATAGACAAGAAAATCGGAAATCAAAACATCTTCAAATATGTCGAGAATAAAAACACAAAAAAACACGAGAACCTTCTCCTCACCGTCATGGTAAACGGTTTGACGAAGCCAGCGACATCTGCCTCAGGAGTGGGTCGCCTGTACGTCAGCCGATGCTCGTCGACGATGAGGTATTCGCTAAAATCGACGGCCTGTGAGCGAAGGTGGTTGACGGACATGGGCACTATCGACAAGTCAGCCTCCTGTGGGTAATCGTGTCAGGAGGTTAGGGATGGCCATGATGTGCCACACACTTAAGTCCATTCTGACAAATGCAAAGTCAGGTCTGAATGAACGATAGCATAACGATACGTTATTACTCTCTAATAAACATGCACGAGCGGTAGAGTGTGAAGTTAGTGAAAGGCAGACGATAAACAGAAACACCATGAACACCTGCGTCGATTAAGTGGAACAGCCACATGAAAAGAACACTGCGAAGTTTCGAGTTAGTTTCGTATTCTCTTCAGACGACAAAACCGAAAAACTTCAGACGGCAATTTGAACCATATTCGCAGGCTGATCAAAGACCGCTGTCTGCATCATTATACAAAACAGGGCTCTCACTTTCAAGGTAATTTACCTTGGTTTGAGGTAATTCAAGTACTTTTAAGGTAACGTTTAAGGCATTGCAATTTTAAGGTAATTCTAATGTAATTCTTTTGCAATGATAAGTATTATTGATGATCTAGTAGGACAACTTCCGTCTTATTGTCAGTTAGTATTTGAAAATGTCTTTTTCTGCGTATTTTCTAAAGATAAGTATTATTGATGATCTAGTGTGATAACGCTTTGGACAGTCTTACTGTCAGTTAGTAATTTGAATTATTCATTTCTAATTGAAAATGTTTATTTCTGTTTTGTAAAGATGAGATTTATTCATTTCTAATTTGTAAATATAAGCATTATTTATGTTGAAGAAGGAAATTATTCCATTTATGCTAAAGTTGTGATGTAGCTTGTCTGGTCTATCAGAAAAATTCTCATGTGCGTATTATGGTTGATTGCTACCTAAAACTTGACCTATTCAGTTGTGCAATCGTCATTAAAAGTATTGTGAACAAAGGAAGTGCACTATTGTTACGATGAAAATCATATTTTCAAAATACAAAAATATAATAAAAAAAAAAAAAAAAATAACTATGGTACTTTTCAAAGTAATTTGCTGAAATCTAGGGTAATGTTTATATCTGCTTGTGAGTACCCTGATACAAAGGAAACCATTAATTAGCAACTCTCGCTAACGCAGAAGTCACATTCGCATCGTTTTCCGTAATTGTGGATATGTTTTGTGCGAGAATATTATGGCAGAGACAAAGGCAGAAGGATCGAATACTGAAGGAGGTTACAGGGGAAAGCAATGCCAAATAGTCCAAGACAGCCCTTTAGATCAACGTTTTCTTTTTTGTTCATTAATTCGAACGCAGGCAACACAGGCGACGCAGCACAGGGAAGGGTAGAAAATGCATCACCCTGTTTCATATAGAGCAGGACAACCCAGTGCAGGTGCGGGCAAAGCCTATGTAAGTACTTATATAGACCTTGGGTGCGGGGTTGTGTCATGGTATCTGAAACGAAGCACACGAGGGACACAGCGTCAGTGTTAGTACTCCACACGATGTCCAACGAGGAACTTACCGAGTCCATCCGCCAACACAAAGTCCATTATGATACTACGAATACAAAGTACAATATATAGTGGCATCGGATAAAGACGAGGTACGGGCTGAGACTGCATCCACTTTATAATTTAAAGGTGGGGGTATATTCTTGTATGGACATCGGTATTATCAGCTAACATACGTATACGACTGTGTTAGAGGTTTCCACTGATGTGTGCTGTTGCAGCTTGTGTGCGTGTCCTAATGTGCACACCTTGCTTGTGCATTGCGTTGTCTGCTCTGCCCTGCCCTATGTTACTGTGTTGTCCTCTGCCTCAGTGTGCGCCATGCTTGACACACACAAAATGTTAACTGCACACATCATTGGAATGTACACTACCTCAATCGTTTATGTAATGAGAACAAATGAACTAAATCACATTCACAATTAGCTCAACTCACCGACCGGTTCAGCATCCCGATCATCCCAGTGAAGGAGCCGTTGGCCAGCCTCAAACCGAAGTCAAGATTTGGTGGGGTGTCGACCACGTAACTAGCGGTCGTTAATAGTGGAACGACGTTGTTTGAAGGTAGTTGGGTAGTTAAGGGACGTTGGGGCAATTGTCATTATTTAGTCTTTTTATCATTATTTTAGTTACGTTGCTATGATTAGTATTAGTGTCACCATCGTCATTAATACTACTAATTTAATATCAATAATTCAGATTGACATTTTATTGTAAACACAGGTCAATATATCATCAATGTAATCAGACTGACATTTTGTAAATAGACCAATTTTTCAGGTCAATACATCATCAATGTTATCAGATATTTTATGAGGGTGTAACAAATGTTTCAGGTCAATATATCATCAATGTAATCAGATTGACATTTTATGAGGGTGTAAACAGACAAATGTTTCAGGTCAATATATCATCAATGTTATCAGACTAACATTTTATGAGGGTGTAAATAGACAAACGATGACTCACCATAACCCGAATTTATCCACGACCATGTCCATTATTGTCCTCATGACACCCGTGGCTGATGACGGGGGCGCCCCTACCTCCCATTTAATCCACGGGTCCCACTGGGGAGGGGGGAGGGGTATGGGGGAGAAAGGCAGGAAAATTAATTAACATATAGTTAGAGAGAGGGGAGGGGGAAGAGAGGAGGAAGGGAGGGAGAGAGCGATAGAGAGAGAGGAGGGAGGGAGGGAGAGAGAGAAAGGAAGGAGGAGAGAGGAAGAGAGGAGGGAGAGGGAGAGAGCGATAGAGAGAGAGGAGGGAGGAGGAGAGAGCGATAAAGAGAGAGAGAAGGGAGGGAGAGAGCGAGAGAGAGTAAGGAAGTGAGGGAGAGAGTGTGTGTGAGAGAGAGACAGACAGACAGACAGACAAAGAAAAAACAGGCATATAAAACAGACATGAATGTATCAATGACTTTGAAATATTCTCCACATTAACCAAGGACCACGGTATTCACCTACCAATTACAAGACACGTTTCAAAGTGACTTAGATGCAACAGTAATAACTCACGCGTAGAAAGACTGCCCTCAGACAGCTTCTATTGCCTGACATTTTCCCGGAGCAAGATGTCAGACGCGAGCTTTCGAGGTCAGCAATTTCCCAGCTCTTGATGTGCCTGACGTCGACTGACAAAGAGTGGTTATTTTTTTTAGATATGGAAATAGATTAACATTAAACAGTAATACGTGTTTTATTTCAAAC